AAATAACTGATACCCAAAACTTAGCTTGTGAGTCTGTTTTCTTAATGTAAGACATGTCCCACTTGACAGCCATTAGATAAAAAAATGGATAGGACAAATAAATTGAAATGAAAAAGAAATTACTGTAGTTATAGTAACATGTACGCAGTATTTTATCCCCTTAAGCTCTTGGTCCTACTTTGGGTAGGTTTGAGCTGCCAACTCTGGCTAGTCATTGACCACTTAGTTGTGTGCACCACCCAGATTCACAGTTTGTTTTTTTTAAAGTAAGGGAATAGTTTTTACTAAATTTGTGGTGCTGTGATGATGCCTTAAAATTGTGGTTTCGACTCAACTGAGTAAAATGAAGACCTACAATTCCTTGGCTGTGTCTGAGCACCCAGAGTATCCCATTAAAAAGTATAGAATTAAGTGAATCTTTAACTCAATATTAGAGACAAAGGGATTGTGGAATATAGTCGTAAGAATTAGGAGGCACTTCTAAATTACCAATGTTTTCATAGTCTTTTTTTGTGGAGTCCTTTCTAATATTTGTCCTGCATATCTTCTTTATAACATATGTGGAATCTTACTGTTAATGCTTTGAATCCATCCTCTCCTAAGTGAGATCTGCTTTTCTCTAGCACTTCACAGGACATGCGACGCCAGTTTCATCACTTATGTTCACTACTATCAGACCTCCTAATGAGAGCCAGCCTTTTGATGGAATTACAGGCCTTTATTTCTTATCTGGAGCAGTACATGACCGGTTACTTAATGTCTGGTATGTAGTCTTTTGTCTTTGGGAGATACTTTGCCTTGATAACTCTGTTATATGGCTATTAGAAATTTTATGAAATCTTTTTTATTATGCATTGAATTTATATTGAACTTGCCTAAACCCAGGATTTTTGTGAGAAAAAAATGATGGAAACCACATAATAGAGTCTCCTCTGTGCTCTTCAAGGGTACAGATGACTGAATATTTTTGTGGCTGGGAAATTTATGAATTCCATTCTTTCTTTAGTTGTTATGTGCCGTTGAGTCACTTGCGACTCATAGCAACCCTATACACAAGAGCCCTAAACGCGGCTCTAATCTGTGCCAACCTCGCCATCTCCGACACACTCATTCCCACCACCCCAATCACAGAATCCATCCATCTCATTGAAGGTCTTCCTCTCCTGCGCTAAGGATCAGTCCCTCCTTGCAACTTGCCCAAAGTATGTCAGACGAAGCTTCAGAATCCTTGATTCCAAGGAGCATTCCGGCTTTACCCTCTCCAGGACAAACCTGTTTGTTCTCCTAGCATGGTATATTCAACACTCTTATCCAGCACCACAGCTCAAAGGCATCAATTCTCCTTCTATTATCCCTAGTCACTTTTCAACTCTCCAATGCATAGCATGTAATTGGATGACTATAGGGCACCTTAGTCTCTAGCCTGACATTGTTGCTCTTTAGTACTCTTGAGAGGTCCCTCACAGCTGAATTTCCCAATGCAGTTTGTCTCTTGATTTCCTGGCTGCTGGTACCAAGAGTGTTGACAGTGGAACCAAGTAAACTAAAACTGTTAACTAAACTATCTCAATCTCTTCACCATCCATACTGATGCTGCCAGTTGGCTCAGTGGTGAGAATCTTTGTTTTCTTGATGTTGAACTTCAGTCCGTATTGAAGGCTGCAGTCCTAACCTTCTGCAGCAAGCACTTCAGGTCCTCCTCAGTTTCAGCAAGCAGGGTTGTGTCATCTGCATAACGCAGGTTGTTGATGACTCTTCTACCAATCCTGATGCCACATTCCTTCTCATACAGCCCAGCGTCTTGAATGATCTGTTCTGCATACAGATTGAAAAGGTATGGAGACAAAATACATCCCTGACAGACCCTCTCCTTGATTTTAAACCATGTAGTGTCTCCTTGCTGTGTTCTGATGATTGCCTTTTATGCCAAGTATAGGTTTCGCATTAACACAGTCAGATGTTCTGGGATTCCCATTGTTCTCAGAGTCAGCCATAGCTTGTTGAGATCCACACAGTCAAAAGCCTTCTTTAGTAGGAAAATATTTTATTTTTATACACATTAAATAGATGATGATGCATTGATGTCCATTTACATATTAATTCTTCGACAGATCTGAGAAATCCCAGTGTCCCTTTTCCATAGTAGTTGCTATTAATTTCCTTTTCTAGTTCTGAAATAAAAATGAGCTTGAATATTAAATATAAATTTGTGAAGTTTAAGAAAAAAGTTTTCTTGATAATCATCTTATGGTGAATTTGAATTTTTTAGAAAAATAAGCCTGTTCATGGGTAAAATAATCAGTGTATAAAGGGTTTTTTTTTTAAAAAAAGTAGAAAGCAAAAGTAGTTTACTAGTGATAATCAATTGAACATGTTTTGGTGGTATAAAATTACTCCATATTTACACCTAGTACTTATTTAGGGGAGTTCTGGTGGCCTAGTGGTTAAGGAGTTGTGCTCTCAACGCCAAGGGGGGTTGTTTAAATTCATCAGTTGCTTCATGGGAGAAAGATGGGGAATATCCTCTTACGATTTATAGTCTTTGTATTTAGAAGTGAGACTCGTAAGTATTTATTTCTTTAAAAAGTAGTTGTTTGAGTTCCTGATGGAAAATGTGACTTCTGTGCCTGATGGAAAATGTGACTTCTGTGCTTATCTCTTAGCTAAACCATAGTTTGTAGTTATAAAATTGATTTGCTTCTGTTTAATGTTCTTTAATGCCAAACACTTTTAACACTTACATAAGAAATCAGTAATAATCTAAAAATTTAAAATTTACCATCAAGATCTCCTGTTGAGGTGTTTTACCTCTTTGGCTTCCTAGTTTGAAAGGGATACCTAGGATTTTTTGGTAACTGGAGAATACATTTAAAAGACAAATGAAAAACCCAAATTGAAAGGAAAGCCTGCCTGATAAATACCATTTGTGATGTCCTATGAACATAATGTGTTGGTGGATCAAGTAAGCCTAAAGTTTCCTGATAACTCCCTTTAAAGAACACATTTCTGTAAGGAAATGGTAGTTGAAAGTCTCTTGTTTCTCACCCATAGGTCTGGCTGGAAAACAAGGCTACTGTGATACCTTTTACACTTAAGGTTGAACCTCTCTATTTTGACCCGATTTTCATGTTACTATTAGGACCTCATACCCTTTCCCATTAACAGGCTGAAATAACATTGAATTTGAACCCTCACTGTGTAAGTGACACATGTTAGAATAAATCTTATTCTTTTGGGAATTTCCTGTGTTCAAAAACATTTAAACTTGTTATTATGAAATTAGTTAGACCTGCAGTACAACTGCCTAGTAGGTCGAACTGCCACGTCTTCACCCATAGAGCATCTTTGGATTCTGAGCAGGGGTATTTGACTATATGAATCGTAACAAATTATGTCTAACATTGAGAAGACTTGGAATCCCAGAACACTTAATTGTGCTCATGCAAAACCTTTACCTAGACCCAGAGGCTATTGCGTGAACAGAGCAGGAGAACATTACATGACTTAAAATCATGAGTCAGGGTTGTATCCTGTCTCTGTAACTGTTCAGTCTGTATGTTGAGCAAATTATTTGAGACATTGAACTCTATGAACAACAATTTACCATCAGGATTAGAGGGAGGAAGGCTCATCAATAACCTTTGTTACACACACATATGACAGGACCTTTTTGCTGAAAGTTATTTGAAACACTTGGTGCAGAAGATTAAACACTGCAGCCTTCAATATGGATTGTATCTTAATGTTAAGAAAACAAAAATTCTTAACCATTAGACCTATAGGCAACATCATAATGAACAGAGAATGGATTGAGACTGTCAGTGACTTCATCTCATCTGGCTCACAATCTGTACACTTGGTACTAGCAAACAGGAGATAAGAAATGAACTGCATTGGGGAAATTTGTAGTCTGGGCCCTCTCCAAATTATTGAGGAGTAGTGATGTCAGTTTGAGGACTCACATGTGCTTGATTCAAACAGACCATGGTCTTTTCAGTCACATACTATGCATCCGAAAGCCGAATAATGACTAAGCATGACAGAAGAATTAATGCCTTTCACTTGTGGTGGCGGTGGTGAAGAGTACTGAATGTCCCATGGACGGCCAAAAGAACAGATGTCTTGGATAAATTACAATGCAAGTTCTCCTTGGAGGCAAGGATGATGAGGCTTTGTTTCATATACTTTGGGCATGTTGCTAGGAGAGGATCTTCATTAGAGAAGGACATCATGCTTGGAAAGGTAGAGGGACAGTGAAAGGGGAAGACTCGGAATCAGATGGATTGACACTGAACTACGGCAACGGATTCAAGTATGTTAGCTGTTAGGAGGGGTGGCACAGGCAGGATAGGGCAGGGTTCACATCTGTTCATAGAGTTGCTATGAGTCATACTCAACTCAGTGGTACCTAACAATAGTGGCTGGATCATGTGGTAGGTATACATTTAACTTATGAAAAAAAAATGCCTAGTTTTTCATAGTAGTGCCATTTCACATTCCCTTTAGTAGTATTTTTAGGTGCTGTCAGGTGGACTGTGGACTCATGATCAACTTTAAAACCTTGCCCTATTGTGTGCCATCCTCACAATCTCTGCCCTCTATCTTTCCCAGCATAATTTTTTTTCTAAGGATTAGTCCCTCTGAGAGCGAGCTCTTGTGGCCTCGTAGTGCTGCTTTGATCGTAAGCATGCAGTTCAAATCCGTCATCTACTCTGGAAGAAAGATGCCCAATCTCTTCCTGTGCAGTTTATTGCCTCTGAGAATCTGTGGGAGGTTGGCTGTGTTTTGGTTCTGACTTGACAGTATGTAATAGCAGTAACAACCGTCCCTCCTGGATCTCTCATGACTTAGTGGTAAGGAGCTACACTGGCAATATGAAGGCATGAGGTTCAAATCCACCAGCTGCTCTGCGGGAGGAAGATGGGCATTCTCCTGTGCAATTTATGGCCTCGGCAAACCCGTTAGTGGGAACTATGGGTTGGTTCTGACTAGATGATACAGAAAAGTCCCTCCTGACAACATGCCAAGCTGAATGTGAGACTGTTTTACCATCCTTGCCTTAGATTACATTTCTCCAAGATTTGTTTGTTCTTTTAACCATGGGATATTCAATAGTTTTAGCTAACAGCACAATTTAGAGCCATTCAATTTTTTTTTTTTTACATTGCTTTTTTATCGTTCAACTTTCAGATGCTTCTAAAACATTTGAAAATACCATGTCTAGGATCAGACACAGCTTTTTGTTGTGTATTGTAGAACTGTAAGGGCCCGTAGCTGACCCTCTGATGGGTTTTTCGGAGGCTGTAAATCACATGGAGGAGACTCCCCATCATTCCAGTGCAGATGGGCTGGTGTATTTGAGTTGCCAGAGAGATGCTGCTTTTGACTTAGCAGTTCAATTGTACAAGCTTTGTCACGAGAGCTCCCGAAATGTTGGTGGTGGTGCCATTGAGGAGAGCATGACTCATAGTGGCCCTCTGAACAAAAGACTTGAAGCCATTCTATATTATCGTTTCTCAAAGTTGATAGGAGTTTCCAGAGGCATGTGGTTTAGGAAGTGGATGCCACTCCCTATAGCTCACAAGCACTTGTGGTCATTTAGTTTTAGTCGGATATGTCTTGACTTCATGTCATTAATGACTAATAATATAGAGAATTGTTCATGTGCTTGTTTGTCATGTGAGTATATGTTCTTTGATAAAATAAGGCATTTATCATCTCATTTTTAAGTTGGGTTATTTGAGTTTTAAATATATTCTGAGTGATTAGAGATATGTTTTGCACATTAGTTTCCTCTACCTGTGGTTTCATAGTATTTAAGTCTTTAACATTGTGCTTTGAAGAGGAGAATGTTTTAGTTTTGACTTCCAGATTCTGTGCGTACAATGTTACATGACACAAGGTTACAAAAGGTTTTGTCAGATTAGATTTTGCATTTAGTTCTGTGGTCTTTATTGGGTTAGTTTTAAATATGTAGGTTGAGAAATGGATAGAAACTTTTGTTTCTGTATTTTGGATATGTTGTTGCTTTGGTGCCATTTGTTGAAAAGACTGGATTCGGTGCAGTCTTGGTCAAAATCTTTTATGACTTTCTTGTAGAAATTGTGACATTTGATTTTAAAATCAGATGGGAATATAAAGGGCACAGACTTTTCAAAACAACTTTGAGAAAGAAAAAACTGAAATACTAACATTGCCTGATTTCAAGATTTATTATGATACTACTGTAATCAAGACTCTGTACTGTTGGCCTCAAGGTAGATAACTAGATCAATTGGGGGGGAAAAATTCGAAAATATTGTGCATTCTTTAAATCTACCAGAGAAAACCCCTTTAGGGATCTAATGCTTTGATCCCTTGAAATTATTTTTTTTTCCCTCTATAATTATATTTTATTAATTTTCATAAACATTTACAGAGATTTTGGGTTTCCATTCATTCATTGTTGCACTATTCTCTCTACCCTCCTCCCAGTTTGTTCTTGTCCAAATGCCACAGTGCTTGTCAAAGCCAGTTCTGATTAATCTTCTTTGTCAGTGTGTCCTTTGCCATTCCCTATCACTCCTCCCTGAGAGAGACTTCACCCTGAGTCATAAGGAAAAGGGGATGGCGTATTCTCTTAGCTACTTCCTGCTGAAAAGGGACGCTGTGGGTTTCAGGGTGAAGATCTTCTCTCACTACTCCAAAGGGCCCCCTTGGCAGTAGGAAACACATAGACTATTATGGAAATTGATTTTGGAATTTAGATGCACTCTTACTGATTGTGCTTGGCCGTACATGTTCATATCCTTGAATATGTATCATGGGGGTGTTGCAACCTAGAAGACACAAATTTGACTAACAAGTTATAAGTACATGAGTCCAAAAATTATGGAAAAGTAAAAGAAAAGATTCTTTCATTGTTTTACAAACCCTCCCCCAGGCCCCCTCCACCATGTAGCCCTCGCTCTAGTCTCCTGTGATGATCCCTTGAAATTCTTGCTGTTCGATTTTTTCCTTTTTTTTTTTTTTAATCAGTTTCATTGTCTTATTACTTTTTTGTTATATAGGCAGGTCCGATCAGAGAACAAAGAAAAGAATGCAGTCATGTCTTTCACAGTTACAGATGAACCTGTATATATTGACCTGGCTTTATCAGAAAACAAAGATGAGGTAAGTGGCTCGATTTTTGAAAATTAATTTTTGAATTTTAACATTGCTATTTTTGAAAGTCAAGGTTTTGACAGTTTTATGATTCATTAAGTGGCAATATGAGATAACAGCAAAATAGAAGTTGTTTTTTCTTTTCTCTTTTGGTAATGTGTTTTTGGTGAAGGTTGGCACAGCAGTTTAGATTCTCATTGGTTAGTTTCCACATAAATTGTTTATGTTAACAGTGCATGAATATTCTAATTTATGTTCTGGCTGCTCTTTTTCCATTAATATAGCTTCCCTCCTCCTCTTTGTTCCATTCGTATGACTTAAGGCAATTGTGATCTCCTAGAGAAGTTTGTTTTTTTCCCCCAGAGAGTGATAATCTTTATTTTGTGAGACAGCCAGTTATTTAACTAAAAGATGATCTTTGGGACTATTTTCAGTTCAGAATTAAACAATAACTCTGCAAAGGAGTCTTTGGAAGTCCTGTCTGAACTGGTCCAGGAAGTCTGATTGATATTTGTCTGACAAGGACTTTGGGTTTCTTTTCCGCATTTTCCTTCCGTTATGACTGTCTTGGCTCTGATCACAGTGCTTGGATTACAGCAGGGTGAGGCACACTCTAGATCTGAAGTTTGTGTACAACGTTAGTCCAATTAGGCTAATAGTCTTTGAATCTTGTGTTTCCGTGTTTTTTTCTTTTGTCCCAGACAAGTAGAGACTAGTAGTTATACCATGGATGATGTTGTGTACCACCTGGTCGGAATTGACATACTTGACCCTCTGGTGTTTCTCAGAGGCAGTAAATCGCATGGGAGGAGACTGTCCATCTTTCTTCCTCAGGGCCATATTATGTGGATTAATAAGGATATTTTGGGGTGTGTTTTGTTACTAAATATTTCATGTATGATTCTTTACTACCAGAGTCTGTCTTGTTATAATAAAATCTTGTAGATTCTAACTAATGTATTTAGGATGTATTTTTAGCTTTTTCTTAATTTTGTGTGGCAATGTAATTAACCTATATCTTCAGTATTTAGCTCTCCTGATGCCTTTAAAGTGCTTCCTACTGATGCTTCTATTTGACTAAAGCTACTCAAAATTTTGATTTGAACTCAAAATCACCCAATGAAAGCACTTGACTTTCAGCACAATCTAGATTCTTTTGCCGTCTAGATTTTGAAATGCATATTTTGCACAAACACTCTAAATCATAGAAATGATTTAGGATTTGTTTTTGTTTTTTTGTTTTCGTTGAGTTTGAAATCCCATGTTTTATTATAATTATTCATTATAAAATTTACTCAGTTATTCGTGGACTTGGGATGCATTTACAGTAGTCAGTGTTTTGATCATAGAAAACTATTTTAAAAAGCACACACTTTTGGTATTTACCTATTTTAACTATTTAAGTACCTGCAGCATTACAGAAATTTGTGTGATTATTTAAGTTCCTAAATGTAAGTAATTTATATAATAAACATTACGTCCCTGGAGATAGCAAAATTTGCTTCTAGTCTTTTTAGGGAATTGTTGCTTTCTTTTTCTGACAGGTTTTAAATGTAAATGATCATAGAGTAATACTGACATTATACATTAACATTATCAAAATAATTTTTAGACTTGTAGACATTTGAAGTGGAAGTGATTTCCATCCTCTTTTTAGGAAACGAATTCTTATTCTAGTGTATTACATAAAACCATTTGTATAGCAGTCATTTTAAATTATAAAATTATTGATTCTACTTAGATTTCTTACAAAGTTACCAGCTCATCTGGATATTTGAGTGGTGTTAATTAGATTTGGGTTTCTGTCAGTAGGAACTGTGGAAAGGGGACTTAGAAACTCGATGAAGAAAAATAGTCCTTTGCAACTTTAATTTCCTACTAAATAGCTGAAGGAAAACAAGAATATCTTTAATCTTATGAGATTTAAAAAAAAATTTTAAATATAGAAGTAAATTCTTTATTGTTCACAATTCAAAGTTAGCTTTTTAAAAGTTTTATATTTATCAGTGTATTGACTATATCTTGAATACTCCATACCATGTCAGTGATTAGAAATAGCAACCTTTCTAAAGTGCTTTGAGTTTGTGCTAAGTTTTCATTTAAACTTTTATAAGAAAGCTTCAGAGTTTTTAAAATTAACTGTAAAGATTGTTATGAGACAGAGTATGGTGCAGAGGAGGATCCAGACATCTAGGTTAATAGCACTGATAGGATCAATGCAGAGTGATGTTTTCACCAATCCCGACTGCTCTTGACAGGTTGGCCTCATACTGTCCATTTAGCCACTTTATGGCTCGATAGTAATTTTGTTGATTCATTTTCAGTGTTGCATTCTTTTTGACTATGTTAACTTAGCATTTTGGCCTTAACATTTACTTACAGTCTGAACAAGATGTTTAGTTTTTTGATAACAGCAATTTTTTTTTAGCAACTTATTTGCATGAGTTGTATATTTCTCTGGTGGTTTAAAAGAGTGAGGAGGAAAATGTAAATTTTCATGAGTTAGATTAAAGATGAAAGTATATTATCTATTCATTTGGCTGACATAATATGTAATATGTAATCTTAATGTAATTAAATTTTTCTTTCAGCCTGTCAAATTAGCTGTTGTTTGCAGAGATGGTCAGGTTCATCTTTTTGAACACATATTAAATGGGTAAGTATGAAAATTTTCAATAAGATGTTTTCTGTTTGAATTGTTATTGTATGTAAGAAAAGATATACATCCTATACAGTATGAATCGCCCTATATCTATGGGTGGGTCTCACACCACGGATTCAATCAACTTTACATTATGATATGAATAATCTAGAGGTAAAGTGTCTGAGAGGCTGTACGTAGGTTAGGGAACTCTGGTGGCATGGTGTTTCAGGAGTTGAATCCTGGTGGTTTGAAACCAACAGCAGCTCCATGAGAGAAAGATAGGCAGTCTCCTCCCATCTGATTCTCAGCCTTGGAAACCCAGAGGAGGGCCAGCTGTAGGAGCCGATTCCAACTTGTATGTGCAGAGGCTTCAGAAACCAGTCCCGTGGATACTGCGGATATGGTTCTATTACTTTTGATTTAGATTGTTGTGAAAGTAGTCTGAAGCCCTGGATTTCTTTTTCATGTATTTGTAGTTAGAGTGGCTCTTTTTGATGTTTATCTAGTCATTATTGATTGTTCCAATGATAAGATCTAGAAGAATGTAGCTAAGTTGAAGACATGCTTGTGAACTCTGGTAATGTAAAATTTTCATGTCTATCTTTGTGACCTCATAAAGCAGAGCAGTGTAGGGAATGATAAGAGAGTGAGTGTGTCTGTAAAGAGAGAGGATTGTTTTTATGTTGTAGTCAGAGCAGAGATAAGCAAGCTAGGGAGACTTTTGGAGGCTTTATAAAACAAAAATTATTACCTATCCCTTTACAGATAGTTTGCCAACTCTAGAATAAACTAATCATGAAAGTAGTGTATATTCCATTTAATGGTGTTCATGATGTATAGAAAAAATTGACTAAAATAGATTGTAATTATTAATTGATTATAAGGTTTAGTCACTGACTCAGTCTACGATTTCCTTAGTTGTAATGGTTTAACACCATTGTAAACATAGCATTAACTCTAAGTTAGTTGTTTAGTTAAAAATGGATTTTAAAATGAGTCCATTGCATTAATTTCTGTTACCTGGAGGTAAAGCTTGGTTAACACAGAAATGTCTAACACCTAAGATTTTTATTTACATAGGTCTATGTTCTTTATATATTTATGTCCGGAAGTCCCAGAATTAGTGAGGCTCATACATGGGCTATAGTGAAGACCTGTATTTGTCCTTTGTAGTGAGATTTTAAAAATTGAGATTATACTGAGTGTATGTAAGGCGTCTAGGGTGTGAGGAATTTTTGATATGCAGTGAAAGTAGGAAGATTAAAGAGCTGGGAGGCCCCTTTTTAGATCATTAGACTAGGTGCTGATTAGGGAAGCTACTAAGAAAGGAGTTCCTTCTGTAAAATAGTGAGTGAATCATTGAAATCATATGAAATATGCAGTATGATCCAGAGTTGGGGAGGGAGAAGTAGCTCATGTTTGGCAAGGCTTTAGAGATGAAGGGGGAAGAAATTGTTTTCCTGAAGTATTACTTTTTTATTTGATGCTAAATTACTTAATCCCAACCTCGAAGTTTTTGTTTGTTCAGTTTCTTCTGGGAGATCTTTTGTGTTCTAGCAACCTTCTCTTCTGGTTTAGTAACAGTCTGTTCCTTTTCAAAAAGGAACATCTCAATATGGCAGGGAGAGCTCATGATTGGCTTAATGCAACCATAAACTCTGTAGGTGTAGCAATCCATCTTGGGAGTTTTATTCATCTGGATGTGTTCAATAACCGGAGAATCAACATCTAAGTGTATTCAGCAGAAACTTGGCAGTCTTTTTAAGGGCCACCGATACTTTGTCCAGCCCCATTGTTTGGCCTGGGCACACCTTCCAGCTCCACTATTGTAACGCTGGATCAGCATGCACCGCTTCTGCAAAGTGACAACTTTGAGATACAACTTTGGATTTCCAGATGCCCTTCATGGCCTGGGCAGTTTTCTGGGAGTTCTTAAAATGAGCCTGGATTTTGAGCCTCTTGATATGCACGATTTTGTGGCATTTTCTGGAATAAGTGAGTAGCGAACCATTTTGTGAGATCACCTGCAGTTGCTCACAGGAAGAGGTAGCCTGAAGTATTACTCTTGTGAGGAACAAGGATCACTTTCTTTAAGGCTCTTAGCCCAAAGGGCATGATGGGGGAAACAACCACAATTCTGTAAGGCAGCTGGGGCACATCAGTTACAGAGCAAGAAGATGCTGCTCAGGGCATCCCACAAGTCATGATGAGGCTTTAGGGAGTTGGGGGACAAATGGAGGTGGCTGATGCAGAGCCAGATGGGAGTTGTGAAGCTCTGGATGATGAGAGGGACCCCCAAAACATAGATTTCTTGTGAAGTCTGGCATGATGGACTAGAAGAGTAGTAGATCTCTAGGACCTATCTTGGGAGTAAAGTTTTGAGTATTAGGTGTTGAAGTTTTAATTAGAAACACTAGTGTTCCAGAAGGGGGCTCGGTGGTGTAGTGGCAAGAAATTGTGCTGCAGTCTCAAGGCACAAGGTTTGAGGCCACACTCTGCTCTGTGGGCAAATGATGGGCAGTCTCCTCCCATTCAGTTAGCTGCCTGTGAAAACTCACCAGAGGGTCAGCTATGGGTTGGTTCTGACTCAGTGGTACAAAATAACAGTGTTCCAGAGACCCTGGTCAGTCTTGAAGAAATCATAAGTTGATGTCACTATCATAGAATTAATGAGTTACTCTGATTTTAAATTGTTTACATTTTTCCTTTATAGATTCTGTAAAAAGCCTTTGACTTCAAACTGCACAATTCAAATAGCAGCACCTGGGAAAGGCAAGAAATTGACACCAAAACCCATCCCAGTTCTTGCAGCTGGCTTTTGCTCAGACAAGATGTCATTGTTACTTGTGTATGGCAATTGGTTTCAGCCCTCCATTGAGCGAGTGGTACGTAGATGATACTCTGAAGTAAAGTATGATACCAAAATGTCCGTGAACAAGAAAAGAATGATTTTAAACTGATGCATCTTCTATTTAGTGGAGTATTTGAAAGGAATAATGTATTCTTTAATAGTAGACCCTGCATTGGAGGTTTTTATTATAAGAACACAATTATTTTCTTTAATTCAGTATATCAAGGAACATTGTTTAACACTAGTTACTGTAAAGAAAAAATGAGATGTTATCTCTTTGTGTGTGGTATTAATTGCTATAGATCTGGTGTGTTTACATTTATACTGCATCTCATTTTGGAGCAACTGCTTTTTCAAGGGTTCAGTAACCAGTTGTACTTCATGGTTACCATCAGCACATGTGTAACTTCTGCTGTGAATTTTGCCCAGTTACAAAAGGAAATCTCCTAATAAAAGAACCATTAATAGTAACACTTTACCATTTTAGTTTAAGTGGTAATGTATTGGCAGTGCAGTAATTGAACATTTTTATTACAAATTCTTTTAAATGTTATTAGTAATGAGTATGTCTAATGATAGACGATTCTTAGGCATTCATTTTAGAATACATGCATTCAAACTCTCGTGGAGACTGAGTGGAATATCCCACACTTTGGTTGATTTTTAAAAATAATTTTAATCTAGTAACACTTAGGTGTAGTTTAGTAAAAAAGGAGAAAAAATGAAGTATAAATCTCCATTTCATGTTACCTCTATTCCTCCAGTGACAGTGTTTGATCATATGAGCATGTAAAACTGCATATAACCTTAATCTATAAATGGAAACATAGGTACTTTGCTGCACCTGGCTTTTCCAGTTTTGCTGTTTACTGGAAAACATTCATATCAGGACCTACTCTACGTCATCTTGTTGATGAGCCTTGCTATCTCTGATTGGCTTTTGAAAACAGTAACAGTGTGAAGTTTTTAAGACAGGTTGCTTGTTCCTTTGTGGGTATATGCACACATTACTCTTTATAGGGCGATTTCTTTATTTAAATCTTGAGTTGTGTAAAATTTGAAAGAATTTTTTAAAATAAAATTTAAAATAAAAGTATTTTAAAAAATTTATCTTCAAATATTTTAAGTGTGAACATTTTAGGCAGTTCATGACAAGAAAGTATATTTTGTGCTTGAGAAAGTTTACTTGGTATGTGACTACCAGTTTTGTGTTGAAGCTTCACTTTAATTTATTATTACATATATATGTATGGTGCTCAGGAAAGACATGATTGGTTATGTGTTTGATTTTATTTCTAGTTCCACTTGCTTTGTTTGACACTTTTTTCTCCTCCATCCTTCCCCTGTCTTTTAAAAATATATTCCTAGGCTTTAAACTCCAAAGAACCTCATATGTGTTTAATAAGAGATATTTCAAACTCCTGGGCCCCAAAAGTAGAAACTGCCATAACAAAGGTAAGTGCATAGTAGATTTGACATTGAAGAAAAACATTTCTTCACACTTAACTGTGTGAAAATGTGTTTATAATTGGCATGGTTTGGAGTAATTAGCATGGTTTGGAGTAATTGGCATGGTTTGGAGTTTTGTCAAAGAAGGATGTGGGGAAAAAGCCTTTACTCGTGTTCCCTGACTTTTGTTTGGATAGTGAAGCATATGCTGGGCCACTCTTTCAAGGGTGATGTTTTGGGCTTAATTAGATTGCTATTTTTAAGAAATACTTTTTAAAATGACAATTTTTAATTTTCTGCAAGTAGTTTGATGGAGAGGGATCCTGTGTTTTAGAAAGAAATAAAAATTTGATGAGCCTGGACTTTAGTATTAATGGAAGCTACATGTAGCTATTATATGAGTAGAAGTTTAATGAGAAAAGGAAAGCCAAGACATGCTATGATGACATCCATGTGGTTTCGCGTCTGGCTGAGTTTCAGTGATGACACCTTTCTCTTGGCTGTCTGAGCATTTCTGGCAGTTAGATTACTGGAGGTAAATACATGAAGCTGTCGAAAAAGTGGGCAGCTTAACCCTCTTTTTTTTTCAACTAGAATGTCCTTGTATAATCTCTAGCTTTTTCCCCCTCCCTCTGATTTAATAATAAGTGTTATTATAAGCTTTAAAACTATGGGCTTTCAGATTTTAATTTTAAAATTTATTTGGCAGATTGAGTTACAGTTTCTTTCCCATTCACATTATATTAATACTGAAAACGTTTTTATATGTTGTCTGTTTTTTCACTATGGATAAGTAATGGAATGATGAAGCCATGATTTCCTTTTGTCCACCACTGCCATTCCTGTTTTAACAGGTGAGAACACCAGTGATGAATTCTGAGGCAAAAGTCCTGGTGCCTGGGATTCCTGGGCATCGTGCCCCTAGCAAGCCTGTTACTCCACAGACTGAGGATTTAGAGACCAAGAGGAAATTAGGGGGCAATGAGGTAAAATGATGACTTCGCATCTTTGTTTGAGTTTAAAATTTAAGATTGTAATAATATATATCGTTTCGAGCCAAAGTTGAAACTTCAGAAACTTAATGGTGGTATTTCTACTTTTTTTTTTTTAAGTGTATTCTCTGAAATTCCAACTTGTGACATTTTTAAGAATGGAGTTGGTGGCTGTTTAGTAGAATGATAGGAGTTTTTAGTAACTGAAAAGGATACTTTTTTACGATTTATTAATATCTGACTGACATGCGATTGCATAAATGAAGCCAGGACGTGCCATGATGACGTTCATTGGGTTTCGCACGTGTCTGAGTTCCAATGATGCCTCTTTTCTCTTGGCTGTCTGAGCAGTCCTGGCTTAGTCAGTGCTTGTTGACCATCATTCTGATCTCTCATTGGACTCAGAAGTTTTCTCAACACTCACAGCTTTCCTATACTTGTCTGTGTAGTGTTCTTTTTTCCCATTGCCCATTCACATTCTGTAGAAATCTAGATTTTTAACTTTTTTTTTTTTTAGTAGAGATAGATGTTTCAACAGCTGTTTTTTTTGTAGATCAGTTTTATCTAGTATTAGAGGTCCTTCTTGAGTTAGTGGGGCTGAGGGTAATATTGCTGTTCTTAAATTATACTTAAGTGATAGGATATGAGTTTATAAATAAAGTGCTAGATCTTCTTTAGCTTTTTCTAGATCTAGTCTTTTAATTTCTTTCCCATGATTTTTTGTTTTTCATAGGTTAGGAGAATTCGACATATCAGACTTGACCAAAGCATATCTGTTTTGCTTCTTTAATAATTGAATATTTTTATTTTGACTTAAATTTTGAAAGAGCTGGAAGAACATGGTTTATTAGGCTTCCTTTAGCTCATGTTGAGTTTTGTACAATTGAAACTTTTGTGTTGTAAATGAAATAATATCAAATATCTGTCAGAAAAGTTCGTTATAACATTCAGACAATCTATATATCATGCAGCAGGGATTTTATGAATTGCATTTTAAAATCATGTGCTTCTTGGGCAACTCTTTTTTTATTGTTGTTCCCTCTACTAGAATCTGGATACTTGTACTACAGGTGCTTTTATTTGTATCTGATGGCTTAGTGGTAAACTGTGCCATCCCAAGGCACGTGCTCTGAACCCACCATCTGCTTCAAGGAGGAGGCTGGGCAGTCTCCTGTGGACTGACTGCCTCTGAAAACCTGCTGGAGGGGCCACTTTGGGTCTGTTCCAGCTCAGTGACACACAACAACAACGTTGGCATCACAGTGCCATTCTGTTAGAATGGGAGAAAACGACATGTTTTGGTTTTCAGGGTTAAGGGTATTAGGAAGTCTGTTTTTGACTCTTGGACACTGGCACAAACTAATTTGAATAAACGACTTTAAACCTTGTCTTACTAATCATTCTGCCTTGATAACAGTGCAGTTGACATTAACCAGATAATTTCTGTTCCTAGGTCAGCATTGAAGAACGCCTGGGAGCAATGGATATAGATTCAAAAAAAGAAAAAAATAACCTTCCACAGACAAATAGCTTTCCAGTTCTTCTCACCCAGGGTTTAGAAAGTAATGATTTTGAAATGTTAAATGTAAGTATTAAAACAGCTTTTTAGTATAGTGAAAATGATAGTTTTCTTAGAAAGTGACTATTAGAGTGAAAAATAATCTTGTATTGCTGATTTGAGTTTAATGTTTTACCAATTTATTCAAATAAATATCACTTAGTGACAACACGCAAGCAGTCACCAACCTACAAAGGGATCGTGTTGGGTTATTTTGAACCTGGAATGCATTTTCTCATAGAAATATTAATCTGAATGTTTTTTAGGTTTGTAGGCTTAATCACAGAAGCCTTTATAAACATAGTATAGCTGAACTATGATACTCAGCATTCTAGATCACAATTTATATTTTTTTCTGTAGGAAAATGTGTTCCTGGGTTTTAACTCTGGATTCCAGAAACTTATATCCCTCTGGCCGTGAAAGGGGCAGTGAGGTGAACCTTGGCAATGGGTAGGAGGTTTTGAGGGGAAAGATTTAAGAGCGTTGGGGATGAGTTTATAAAATACTCACAGGGAGAAACTTCGAATAATTCCTGTGTTTGTAAGTTGCTGACTGCTTGTATGAAGTTACTTAATTTTGTCTCATTCTAAAATTTGACAGTTTTCTGATAAACATATTTAAATCTTTAAAAACAATTGCTTTAAACCCTACTTACTTAGATGTTTAAAGTTTACATTAGTGATTGATACACGGTAATATGAGTACAGTTAGTATAGATATGTCTTTAATATTACCCACACCTATGAATAGTATTTCTCTCATTTATATTTTGGTCCAAATGGAAATATTTACATTTTTTGTTTTAAAATAATTTTGTAAAATTATAGAGGGAACCTAGGATTTCTGGGGAAAAAAAAAAAACCAAAACAAAAAACAACAACAACAAAAAAAACAAAACCAAAATTACTTGTGTTTTGGGGGTTATTTTAGCTTGCTATTGCACTAGAAAGCTAAGGAAAGATTGGGGAAGAAACTAGAGAAGCACTTGAAAATGACTGAAATGCAATACAACCTATTGGTCATCATTGCCAGCTGAACTATTCTTTAAAGCCTTCTTCCATAGTCACAGCAAATCTATTTGCTTTTCTCCTCCTGTAAATTTTTATTAAGAAAGATTAGCTATAAAATTAGTTATATAACAGTTATAAAAGTAGAATAATATAGTGGTCCTCATAAACTAGTTACCCAAATGAACCAGTTACTAACACTCTCCATCTTGTTTCCTCTCACCTGCCAGCATCTCTCCGCTGCACCACTCCCTCATTATTGTGAAGCAAGTTTCATACATGTCTCAGCCATAAATATTTCCTTAAAAAAAAAGTTTAAAAATATTATCATACCTTAAAGGATTCCTTAAAATCATCAAATATCCATTTAATGTTTATATTACCTGATTGTCAATTGTACTTTAAAGTTATTGATTTTTTTTGGTTGTTGTCTTTTACTTAGGAGCCCAGTAAAGAGCTCACACTGTATTTGGGTAATATATAATATACCCTTTGCAGTTTATTGTTTTGGAGAAGCACGATGTGTCTTGTAGAAATTGTTTCTGTGGTGTCATTTAATATGTCCTCTGTTAGCTCTCGAAGCTTGGAGAAATTCCTGTTAGAATCTTTGTGGTGAGAGCACTTTATAGATGAGTCCTTCTATCAGGAGCTCTGTAATGCCTGTCTTTTCTTTCGATAGTGTTGCCTGCTGTTGAGTCAGAACTGACTCATAGCTACCCAACCATCCAGGGGCTTTTCTGAGACTAAATTGCACAGGAGGAGTTTGCCAACTTTCTCTTGAACAGCAGCTGGTGACTTCATACAGCCTGCTTTTAGGTTGGCAGTGAAACTTTTTTATCACTAGACAGTAGTGGCAATTTATATTTATTACCTGGTTCATGGTTTGAGTTTTCAGACTCTGTCCTACCTCTCCTCTCAGGAGAGACTGGTCCTTGGAGAAGAACATCATGCTCAGAAGGGTGGAGGGACAGTGCGGGAGATAAAGACCCCGCATGAGATAAAGACCCCGGATGAGACGGGTTGATGAAGTGACTGGGACAGTGGGGTTGGTGTCGGAATTAGTGAGACTGGCTCAGGACAGGTCAGGGTTCAGAGCTACTATACATAGCAAGTAAGGTCGCTGTGGGTTGCAGGTAACTCAACGGAACATAAGGACAACACTACTAAGGTTTATTTAGGGAATGCGGGATTAAGAAATGATTTATTACCTCATTTACCAAATTTCAGAAAACTAGTTCCTTGGTGTTCACCAAGAAAAAGGCCAGTGAGGTTATTATTTTCCTCATATCATTATGAAAGTGAGAGCCCTAATGCCTAGTAGGCACCTCTGGTGACTCGAATACACCAGGGTTTGAAACCCACTAGATTTCAGTTAGGAATTCGTTCTAGTGAACAACAGTGACTGAGTAAATGATCATTGTGACACAGATTTAAAGTCCATTTTGCTTTCAGTTTATCATTACCAATAGATTTTCAGCATAGTGAAAAATGAAAAGTGTTTACTAAAGTTATTTGCATAAAATTCCCTTAGGATCTAGGGATTGCAAGTAAATCCAGATCCATTGTGCTTAGAAATTAAATGCACATATTTATTAGTGTATGTTATATGATGACGCAGGATTTTCTAAGAATGCAGTGCCAGTTTGTATATTCTTTTGTTTTAATTAATTCATTAATACATCTGTGTCATTATAAACCCCAAATATAATAGCTTCACAGAAGTTTGGTTTTTCCCTTCTTAGACTAATTTAGTACTTTTGGAGTTCTTGTGTAGTCAAGGCTCCAGGTAAAGGCCAGTTGTTCTCATTTCTCTTGGTGCTCTGAGTCCCCCTGCATATTACATGTCATGTCTTGTAAAGTAGCAGAGTATGAAAGAATTTGTGGGAGTTTTTGTTAACAAGGCCCAGAAAGTCACATATCTTACTTTAGCATATTTATCATTCTTTTGGCTCAAGGTTTGATTTAAATGTTTGATGTTTTGAAATTTTTTTAAAAAATATCTTTAAAATTAAAATTTCTGTTGAAAAGGTTATTGCTTTTTAAAAACATTTATTGATTTGCATAGTATGCACATCATGTTTTGTGTATGTATTGTGTTTCATAAAATCGTATCTGTTGTTTCATTTATCCGCATTGTGTTTTATATAATTCATTATATTTTATATTATTAATTGCCATTCATCTATTATCTCCCCATCTTTTCAAGTCCTCATTAAACCTTTCCCATTTCTTTACCACATCTATCCCTAGTTTCTACTACCCCAGTAATTTTTGTTTTATTGCTTTTTAAGTGCAATTCTACAGTGTTCGGGCCACACTTCTATAGTTAAATCTCAAATGTTATAAAATGACTTTGGAAACTTGTGTTTTCTAAATTCTGTACATCTGTATTTAAATGTGTAGAAGGTTATTTTTCTGTATCTTAAGAAAATTTGGTCCTTAAAGACATTGGCATTTATAAAGAAGAAAACCGTTCATATTAAATTTTTTTGATAAATCAAGATTATACCTATCTGGTAGCCAGAAAACATATTTTTTATTCAGATTCATTTCCTTGCTAAAATCGATTTAATAGTTATTGCCCTGGGCTGTTTAACCATTTTTCTTGTTGTATCCTTAGCTTCTCATTATGTTCATCTTAATATTTTTGTTTTCCCATAGAAAGTACTTCAAACTAAGAATACAAATCTAATAAAGAAGACTGTGTTAAGGATGCCCCTCCATGCTGTAATTCCATTGTTGCAAGAGGTAACTAAGTGCTTTTTCTGTTTTAAGATCGTAACACTATGAATTTAATAAACACTTGGTGGCCTTCCTATCTGATAGGTCGTCAATCCAAATCTACCAATCTGCCATTCGTTCTATAGGAAAAAATGGACTGTCTCCTCCCCTATAGGTTTAAAGCCTCAGAGACCTGGTGAAGGATCACCATGCCGTAGCATTGACTCTGTGTGCTGGGCTTGGTTTTGTGTGGCACTGGGCTTAAGTGTCACATGCCAACTAGCACCTAGGCAAAACGATGTGACAGTCTCCTTTAGATTTGCAGCCTCGGGGAAATTATGGAGCTGTTCTGTTCTGTCCTCTAGTATTGCTGTGTGTCAAATTCAACTCAGTTGCACTGGGGAATGCTATGAATTTGGGGGAGAAGGTCCAGTGTTTAGAAAATTTAATTTCTAATAAATAGGGAGTCTGGTATTGAAGAGTAGATGAATAGGGATGATGGTAAGTTGATGGATTCCTAAGGCAACTAAAAGGAAATGGCATTCATATTTTACTCTTCATTTCCTATTCATCTAAAAGTATTTGAAAATTTAGAGTGACCTATAAAATAGTTGTATGTGCAGGAGACTGTCATCTTTAGGAGAGTGATGGTTTTTAGAAATCCCAATGTAGAGTCCCTAAATCCTTTCTTTTTTAATTTTTTTTGTGTGCATGTACCGTCAAATCAGATCTGACTGGTACAGGAGGATATTGCGCCTCCTTCTCCGGCAGAGCGTCTGGTGGATTCGAACCGTGTTCCTCTGGGATTGCAGTGCAGCTTCTTGCCACTAGGCCACCAGAGCTCCCCTTCTAAATCCTTTATTTTTGCTTTTCCTGTATGTCATACCAAGGTACCCTAATTTAACATCCATATGTCTGTACTGTGCTTTGATTTCCCTTTTTAAAATCCCATCTGTGGGATTTACTCCCATTTACTTTTTCTGACAATTGGCTGCCTTGACTTGCATAACTGCTTGCATAACCCTGTTTAACAATGTTAAAGGGTGAGCTAGCAGCTGGACATGAAAAATGTCGTGAGAATGCTGCTGCCCAGGAGCCTGTGTCTGGTTGCTGAGGGCGCTGAGAAATTAGGATAGCAGAAATCTCATGCTAAGCTCAGCCCCAGACATTCAGGATTCAGTGACATTGCTGTTTACTGAAGTTTCTCATATGTTGAAGTCATATGATTTTATAATTAACAACCCTAAGGGAACATTCCCTCTTTAGTCTCTTTGGAATCCATATGTAATTAGTAGTTTATCTTAAAGAATGAGTATGTTACAAAAATTAAAGATAAATTTGATTCCTTGTAATTAAACTTGCATTATATTTGTTTAAAATGCTCAAGTATTGTATGAATTGTCTTGGTACTAATTTAAGTAATCTTATTTATAGGTGAATTAGTTTAATAACAGTTATGGATTCCTTGATTAGCAATTACACTTGACTTCTGTTTGTTTAAAATGCTCATTTATTGCATTATATTTAGATAATATAATGTTATGAATAGATGAATCTCTGATAAAATTTCTGTATTTGAGAGTCCTTGGGAGCTCTGTGACTTGGTGGTAAGGAATGGCACTGTTAGTCCAAAGGCACCTGGTTCAGAGCCACTAGCTGTGTGGGAGAAAGATGAGCAGTCTCCTGCCATGAGATTTCTTGCCTCCCAAAACTCAGCTGGACAATCAGCTAAGAATCAATTCCGAATCTGTGGTACATAACACAACTGTTAGTTACGCTTAAGAATACTGGCAAAATTTGTTTTGAGTAGACTAGATGGTTTTCCTTGTATTTTAAAAGTTGAAATACAATACATATACCATAAAATCACCTTTTAAAACATGTAATCCAGCATATTGTCATATATATTAAAAGTCACACTCTGTTTTCTCCTTTCCATTGTAACTGCTTATTCTGGACATTACATGTGTAACTCTTAGTCTGGGGGCACCTGGCCCTTAATTACTTTTATTGTAGAAATGTATTTCTTGAATATACCAGTAATTAGATAGGATTTTTTTTTTTAAATAACCCAGCCATTGCTTTCTCTTGGGAATTTATGGAGATTTATAGTTTCTAAAGTGCTGTTGCTAATAGTGCTTTTCTCTTCCCCAGCTTACAAAGAGGTTACAAGGACATCCTAACAGGTAAGATTTTTATAGTGGATTTGTTTTTTAAATGTTTTAGGCTATTGTTTAAACATTGAGCTGTCTGCAGCATGAGAAATAACTCATTAAGTGTCAAATATTACTTTTTCTTTCCTTTAACTCTTTAAAGATGAATACTTCTTAAGATTTTATTATGTTTTTGGTTGATTTTTGTTTGTTAGTTTGTTTTTAAGTTTCGAGTTCTATGTAGTTATTTCCACTTTATTGTCAGGTCACTTAAATTTGGCAAATTTAATGATTTAAAACTGCCATGGTACACATACAGAATTGTCTTAGAATTTAGTGACCTCTGGTAATCTGCTTAAGACACGAAGGAAGTATTTTAGATAAAAAACAAAGCTTTTAGATCTTTTTTCTTTTGTAATGTGATAAGATCCTGTGCTATGGTGGTATCAGCGTCTACAAATACAGGCTTGCCTTTCTGAAACTTCCTCTGTTACCTTTCCAAAAGAAGAAGGCTGAAAAAAATAAATGAATTAGGCCAGATTGAGATACACTTTTTTTCTGTAGTTGCCTATTAATGTTGTAGTGGGAATCTTTACTATTTATATTTGTCACTGAATCAAATGTGGGTTATAGTATGCAGAATTGGCTGGGCCCAGTTTGTAGGAATATTAATGCCTTGGTATCAGTTTATTATGTAGCAGTGAATGTGGTCTTGTCCATGACTGTTTAGTGTAGTGAAAAGGGGTTTTGTCCTGCTTCCGTTTCCTTGGTCTTTTCCTTCCTGAGAAGTTACTATGATAAGCACCTGAATCTTTCCCATTCTCTGCTGCCCTGTGCTGGTGTGGGGACAGATGGTGCTACAGTATGAGCAGAGGAAATCCAGATGGGTTGTTGCCATTTACTTGGGACCTGTCTCTACAACTCTGTCACACTCTCCTTCCCGAGGCAAAAGGGTTTGATTTGCAAACCTTTGGAGCTCAGATTGGGAACTTATTCCTTGGTTTTATGAGAGAGGACAAAAGAACCAAATGCACGTGAACATGGCCATAGAGTAGGTTCCTCTCATGGCGACTCCTTGGGTTTCCAAGGGTAAATCTTGGCAGAAGTGAACTGCCTCATCCTTTCTTTTAGAGTGGTTGATGGGTTTGAGTGAACTGTGGAGAAGTCCAACATTAACATACTATGCCACTGTGGCACATTGGAAAGGACCAAACAAACCACAGCCACTGTCCCCAAGTCACATCTGATTCAGTAGTCACTGCTGTATTTCAGATGAGGGGAGGAAGTACAGCAGGAATCTCAAATAGATTCAGTGAAGGAATGAAAACACTATCAAGTTAGTAGTTATTTATTTATTATACTCTTCACAGACTGTAATTTGTACCCAGTTTACTTTTACAATTTTTTTTGTTTGCTTTTTATATTTATCATTAAATAATGTGATTAGAAACAGAGTAACAGTATACAAATGTTGCTCTAGTGTTTCCCTTGTGTGGTATTGTGGGCTCCATTGGTCTGATGCAGTTGGTGTCGGTGGGTGATGGCTTGGTTTGCTGTGCCAAGGAGGTTTTGGTGGGGACCCCGTAGGTCAGGTTCTCTCAGTAGTGGTTATTTTGTGCTCCATTGGTCTCGTGTTCTGGCTTAGTGTTGTTGAGGGCTGCATTGCTCTGATCTCGCTTGGTTTTGGGTGGGGGCTGACTGGGTTTGTTGTACTTGGGAGGCTTTGTGAGGGGTCTGGTGATGTGGGAGGTTCTTTTGGTCTGCTGTTCTGGCTTCTTGGTCTTAGGGGCACTGTTGGCACAATGTCCTCACCTGGTGATGGTAGAGGGTTGCTAGGTTTGTAGCACCAGCAGTGGGAAGACTGGTGGAGGCTGCCTTGGCCTGAAGGACCTGCTAATTTAGCTGCAGGCTGTGCTGGTCTGGTGCTACATGATATTGGGAGCACTGTTGGTCTGGTGCTCTCAATAATTGTTATTTGGGCTCTGTGGTGTGATGTGGGTGGGAGACTCTGTTGGTCTGGTGTTCTGGCTTCTTGGTATTGGGGGCTCTGTTGGCCCGATGTCCTTGCCTGGTGCTGATAGAAGATTGCTAGGTTTGTAGTGCCAGCAGCCTTGGGCTGATGATCTCACTAAGTTTACCTGGAAGCCTTTCTGGTGTGATGCTAAATGATATTGGGTGTTCCCTTTGTCTGGTACTCTCTGTAATTGTTATTTGGGACTCCATTGGTCTTGTGTTCTCCGTTGGTTTTGGTGAGGGATCTCGGCTCACTGTGCCAGGGAGGCTTTGGTGGGGGTCCCTTTGGATGGGTGTGCTCAGTGGATACTGGTGGGGGCTCTCTTGGTCTGTTCTTGGTCTGTGTTGCTAGAGTTCGGCTTGATTTGTTGCACTGGGAACGTTGGTCTGCTTCTCTCGACTCCGTTAGTCTTGTTCTCTCTGTTCCTGTTCATGGTGACTTACTTGGTTTGTTGTGCCGATGAGAACGACCATGTGAACCTAGACATGTCACAAAATTTTGGAGAAACTGCAGAAATAACAGTGGTATCTGCCATGAAAGTTTGGGGAGCCCAAATGCTTGGGCTCAGACTCTAGCTCTGTTAGAGTCTGCTTAGCTTCCACCGGTTCCAAGAGTTCCAAGTTCCACCACCTTCCTCTCTGAGATGTGACAGAGGAGTGAGTGCAAGTGAGAAGGGACAATATTTGTGGACACTTATTTTCTGATATCTTGGTACTATAAATAATTTCAACTAAAATCATATTGATGACAAAGTGTTAGAAATTGAAAGGCAATTGAAGTATGAGAATTGTCAGTACACTAAACTTAATTTTCAATTCACACACGCGCGCGCACAGAGAGAGAGAGAGAGAGAACCAAAAGGGAACATTTGGGATTTCTCCAGGTGAAAAACTAAAGAAATTAAAATATTGAGTTGCAATAGTGAAGAATTGTATGTGTAAACTTCTGAAAAATATGCGCCATTGAGTAGACTGTGTCTCCCAGAGGTCATGCAAACAACAGACCTTGTCTAGTTTTTCTGATAGTGTAACTGAGTTGTATGACTGAACACTCGTTGACTTGAATTTTTTTTTCTAGTGCTGCTTTGATGGTCCAGTGGCTAAAATGTGTGCTAATGGTTCATGCATCTTATCTATCCACTGTAAGTATTTTCAGCTGTAGTTGCTGAGTAAGAGTTCTTTGGTAAAGGTTGACTTGAAGACTTAACAGATAATTTTCTCTTCATCTCTCCTTCAAATTGTCACCTGCTCTCTTTAGAGATTGTAGAGATTTTATTTGCCCAGGTACCATGACATGAGTTCTTTTGTCATGTTGCTGTTGTCTTTCCTTAATTGGTTTTCCCCTCCTGATTTGTAGATGTTGTTGTTGTTTTTATATGCCATCGAATCACGTGTGACTCATAGCCACCCTGTGTATAGCAGCTTGAAAGCCAGTCTCACTGATTATGGCACACCTACCCTTATTGCCCCAGTTACTGTATCAGTCCATCTCATCAGGGGTCTTCTTCTCCTTTGTTCCTGCTTGGCCATGTGCCCAAAGCATGTGAGACAGAGTTTCAAAATCCTAGCCTCCAAGGAGGAACTTGTTTTCACCCTCTCCAAGACAGACCAGTTTTCTTGACAGTCCATGGTATGTTCAAGACTCCAACACCACAACTGGAGGGTATCAATTCTTCTGTCATCCGTAGTCATTATCCAGCTCTCTGATGCATAACAAGTAATTGTGAAGACCATGGCCATCCTTGCTTTTCAGTACTCTGGTTTGTAGATAGATACTGTATTCATAAAGTACTATGTATTCTTTAGGGGAGCTTTGAAAAAATTTAGTAAAGACAGAAGGTAAATTTGATTATTTGACATCAGTGTTTTCCTACACATATAACCTTTACAAGAGAAATTGCCTTCATTTTATGTGTATCTCAGGTGTTCATTTATAAAACTGTAACTAAGTTGTGGAAAGGTTGTACACTCACATTTTTTCCTGGTGTGTTAATTTTGTCACTGTTCCTGGAATAAAGTATCTTGTGAGGACACAAATGATCCTTATTCTGGACAAGAGAGAGAGATGGATTTGACACTTTTTGATAAAGATCAAAAGTTGCAGCCCTCAGAACCTTTCACACAAAAATCTCAAGACTGAAACATTAGGTATCCTGGTAAATGGAAAAAGATGGAATTTGTTAAAAATTTCCTTTTGCGTGGATCCCTAACAACCCAAGGAAGCTGGAGTTGCAGTGTATTAGTTTGGGAAGATTGCCTTACCCACGCCTTGCTATTTTCAGAGAGGAAGACCTTCCACAAAGTGGATTGACACTGTGACTGCAGCAGACAGAGGCTTGAGCATCACAGAGTTAGTCATGACAGCACAGGAGGATAGCACAGGGTCCAGATTCGTTGTTCATATGGGCCTTAAGTAGGGGCACATACCAACATATGCATGCAAAAGTTGTACAGGGAATAAGAGAGAACACCTTTGAATTGTGATGTCTGCCAGAGAAACAAATTAGTTTGTTGTTTTTGTTTTTTTTTTTTTTAAAACAATTTTAATGAACATTTACAGAGATTTTGGATTTCCATCCATTCACGCCTTTGAGCTGTGGTGCTGGAGAAGAGTATTGAATGTACCATGGACTGCCAAGAAAACAAACAGATTCATCCTCAAGAGGGTTAAACCAGACTACTCCTTGGAGGCAAGGATTCTGAGGCTCCATCTAACATACTTTGGACATGTTGTGAGGAGAGACAGGTCCTTAGAGAAGGACATCATGCTAGGTAGAGTAGAGGGACAGCGCAGGAGGGGAAGACCCTCTATGAGGTGGATTGATTCAGTGACTGGGGAAATCGGGATGGGTTTGTCAGAGGCAATGAGATTGGCACAGGATAGAGCACGGTTTAGGGCTGTTGTATATAGGGTCGCTATGAGTCGCAAACGACTCGATGGCACATAACAACTTTTAGTAAATTTGATATTCGGCTTCCCTCATTTCCCCTCTTTTGTTTAAATCATAATTTTGAGGTTATCAAGATGAGCATAATTTCTTTTCTTCAGGATTCATTCTTCCTTGTCTCTTAATCCTTTATATATAATCAAACAATTATAACCGAGAAAGCAAAATAAGTTCACAAAAATACTTCCAATAAAGCAGCATTCCCTGAGGGTCGGCTTCCATTGTTATGTTTCTCTGGCCTTTTTAAAGGTTGAGATTGTAAAAGCTTCCTTGGGGAAGCTTGTTGGAGCCTCATGCTGCTTAGATCCAGAAGGGTTCCCTGTTGGTGTCTTTTCTATGTTTATTTGTCTGCCATCATTTATTTAATCAGTACAAAAAGTTCATCCTTCTGTTTCTTTTCTTAGCTTTTAAATTGTTAGTTTTAAAAACAGTACTGTGAAACAAAAACAAAAAAACCCAACAAAACCCACAAACAAACCAGTACTGTGTTTTGCTGTTGGGACAAGGACACCTTAGATGTGCAGGCTTTACTCTTCACAGCTTCTGCTGCTGCTGGGATGGTTTGTGAGCTGACAATACAATGCCTTTGCGATGGGAGTGCTGGGTGATTGGTGTGTTTGCAGAGTTGTATGATGGGAGAGAAGTAAATCACAAATTACCCCTTCACCCCCCACCCCAAGCCCAGTGAGCAGTGTATTACAGACTACCTTTCCCTCTCCAGTTACCTGACCTGGTATCTCAGCTGAGGACACTATACCAGTTAATGGACAGCAGAGTCAGAACTTTCCAGAAACTCTCCCACCTTCATGGAAAGCTCATTCTTCTAATCACACAAGTGAGTAAACAATCAAATTGTTTAATGCTGAAACTTTTAGATCTGATAGGAGAGAAGAATACTATTTTCTTTTTGCCTGAACATTGAAAGCTTTGGCAAGAAATTGGTAAATCAGGATTTATTCTTTAGCTTGATGATTCTGGATGTTGGACAGAAGGAAAGTTTGGTTGTGCCTGTTTTCAACATTTTTTCAAAGGTCTCAGCACAGTGGAAAGAAACCCATGTTGATGCGCTTGGGACTGAGTTGAGTTGGGGAGCAAACCCAGTTAAAACCAATTATACTGTTACAGAATCTATCTCAACTCAGAGTGACCCTTCAGAGCAGAGAGTGTTTGAGTGCTGTTAGTGTTTATGAAACAGGCTGCCCTAGGCTATTTCCTGAAGAGCATTTGGTGATTCAGACCTTTGACCTTTTGGTGACAGCAGAGTGCTTAACCATTGGGTAACCAGGATTTTAAAAACAAGGTCAATTTCATTGAAATGAATAATAAATTTATAGAAACAAACAAAAAAACAAAACCAAAAACCAAGGCCCAGGACCTTTATATTTGGCACAAAAAGGGTTGTATTCACTTCAGAGGAGTTCCTAATTTTTAGAGTAACATTCTTTCCTTCTGTTTAAAGACTTTATCTTTGCCCTGTACTTGATCCACGTTGTGTTAAGATTCTCCATTACACCACCAGATGCTCTGCTGAAGAAGGAGGGACAATCTCCTCCTGTATCAGTCAGATCTGATTTGACGGTGTACACACACACAACCCCC